GCCCAAGCCGGCTTCTCGAGATCCGATTAAGCAAACATAAGACACATGAAGCTTCTAATCACTCAGCCTTGTCCGCCTCCGCATCTTGCACCTGCAGGTGCCCCGATTTCTGCATGGGTGTTCATTACTGGTGATCGTAGTTGTAGTTGTAGCGACCGGGGAAAGGGTCTTTGAGGAGTGGGCTCTGCTTTTGATTGGTTGGTTGATACCTTTGTTTCTCTCTCTCTCTCTCTCTCTTTTTTTTTTTTTTTTTTTTTTTTTGAGGACAACCTGGTCTACCTTCCTGATTGGTTGTTTATGATGATGATGTTTTGGTATCTGGTGAATTGGTGAATCGGCCTTGTGAGGGGTTGTGCGGGGTTGATCAGCTGGCACCGGGGGATTTTTCTTTTTGGCGGGCGGTGTGATAATGGTTGGGATGGGGATGGAGAGATGTGCGTTGGTGGGATGAAGGTTCGTTTGGGATTGCGAATGGGTTTTTTTTTCTGTAACCGGCTTCTCGTGAATCAATTGATATGCCATGTTACTGCGTATCTGATCGATGACAGGTGCGTAGTCAATGAACTGGGCTATGGTAGCTGGTTTTGTCGAGAAGTAAGAAACACTCCACCTGCACAATCCCTCAATGATTCCAGCGCATCAATCTCACCAACCCTACATTCACCACCACCTCGCAAATCGTGCACCTCGTCGCCAATCCCAGAAGGACGTTGCTTGAGACGGGATCTCAGGAAGCGCTGACAAAGAATTTGAGATCAACCTTCGATCGCGAGGTTCCTGCTCATCTGGGCTTTGTGCAGTTGCGGAAAAACGGTTTCCCGGACGACGATGGCTAGGGTACAGCCTCGTGTCAAGGTCAAGACAGAGACGTGGCCAAGGCGCTCCCTCGATGACGGCGATGTTGCCGCGGCGGAAATGTGTGGCTGGTAAAGACTACGGTACGGTAGGTGGCAATTTGTGTGGGATGGGTACGGCTACTAGTACTTGGTATTACTCTGGCGATTCGGTGTTCGATGCTTCAAACTCATGATATAGCTAGGGCATCCATAACATCTTGTTAGCCCAGCCTCCTCCGACTTCACCTCTTTTCTCTTGCGCGAATTGGTTCAACTTGACTCCTGTATCCTTCTATGCCGATGAGGAATCCCAAGATATTCTTCGCGTCACTGATTCTACCCAGATGTAGCGTGGATCTACTGGAGACGACAATTGCAATCATGGCAGCGTGTGTGGCCTTAGTCAGGTCGGCTCATAATGTCGACTTCATAGTCTTGTCTCCCAACCTCACTAGAAATGTGGGAAGTATTGGATGGCAGCGCATCCTGGCTGCAAAGTATCCTCCTCACCAGTTCACAGCTTCGATTTCGTATCCTTATCTTCCAACCTCACCGCCGTGACGAGATGAAAAAGTCACAGGTGCAAGACGACAACGCATACCGATGACAGAATCTACCCCACTTCAAAAACAATGATCTCTCAATTAATACAATCCCAGCCTATATCTCACCAATACACGCGGAAATGTTGGCAGTAAACCAGCTTGCTTGCAAGGCAGTGACAATTTCCAAGCACCAACCATAGAATTGTATAAGTGTTTCATGTATACCTTTCCCAGCAACATGTCTTCCAGTCACCTCTCCATATCTCATTGCCAATATGCGTCGGTTCCTCCACTCCCTCCAAAACGCATTCCACCGTCTATTCCCCTGTTGCCGACGAAAAAAAGAAGGTAAGCCCACCATTCCCTTCTCGCGCCTTTTCTCCCAAAAATTGATTCCTTCCAAACAGCCCCTTCCAAACCCTCCAAACTGGCAACACCAAACCCCTCCACAATCTCCATCGCCACCAATTTCTAACAAACCCACACACCTCCCCTCTCTCGTCAAAACTCCAAAAATCTAACAACCTGTCCCTACTCTCCAGCAGCATCCCAATCCCCGGAATCGACGGCATCGCATCCCTCCACAATCAGCATCTCAACATACATAAACACAACATCCACGCCCCGTCCCATCTCCACACCAAACACCACAGCCACCTCCCACGCCCCGCAAGGCACGTCGTCGTCAACGCAGACCTCGCCCACCACCCTCCCCTGGGGCGATACACCCATAACGACCATCCTCAACCCGCCGCCCACGGTCCCGGACCGCGTCCGACCCATCTCGAACAGCAGCAGGAGGACGAGGTCGGATACGGCGTCGTCCTCGATGCCCCCCTGTGCGAGGGCGTGTCCCTGGGGCGAGAATCCGTGTCCGTGGGAGGAGATGCGGGTTTCGAGTGCTGAGTTGGGAGGGGTGGGGGCTTTGGGTGAGGAGGGGGGAGGGTTTGTGGAGACGAGGGTGGAGGGTGGGGTTGGCGTTGGGGTTGGGAATGGAGTGGGGGATGTTACGATGCCGAGGGGGAGAGGGACGTTTTGAGGGGTTGTGAGGGGGAGGAGGGAGGGGATGGGTTTTTGAGGTGGAGGAGTTGGTGGGGTGGTGGTGTTTATAAGGTGGAGGAGTTGGTGGTGCGGGTTTGATAAGGAGGAGCCGTGTTATTGGGCTTCTACAAGCGGGAGTTTTAGGGACATGGTCTATGAATTCATGAATTACGTCTGTAATGATTGTGATGAGATTCCGATGATATGACTTATGACTTGATGACTGGACCACGGCAGTATGGAGAAAGTGGTATGAATTGTGATGGATGATGCTTGTGATGATATTTAAGGGATTCAGAGGATATGCAATAGGACCTGACAGCTCGCTACGAAATCAGCAAGTGCTTCAGAAATAGACAAAGAATGAAACATCAACATCCAACCCCATTTCTTCCCGGCAACGTCCATTTCAATAGAATGATGAAGCACAGAATCAGCGATATCTCGATGGTTTTCCCCAATTCTGCAAAAGCAAGCCAAGAAACTTCGTTACTCGTGCTTGATATGTCCCCGCCATAAAAGCGGTTGAGAATCTGCAAGTTGTGTAATTGAAAACGAAGCCAGGCATGGATCTTGAGCAGTAGATGGGCTCCCACCTGAGGTAGTGTTTCATGACGGTAGCTAGATACATGGTTCTGAGGATTAATGGTGTCATTATTAATGAAAAGAACTTACGCGCCGATTGAATCCGGTGTATTTCCTGCTTACGACGGAAAAAAAAAACTCGATTCCCACGTCCCGACGCTCTGTTGATTCAAAAGTAAAGAAATTTCCCCTCAGGTAATCCGACAGGATATCAATCAATCAATGCATCCTCCTCCTCTAAAAATAAAGGATGAAACGATCCCTGCACCCGTCTAAGGGGCCCCTTTCCTCTCGCACCAAGCAGCGAAATCCATCTGCTGCTGGCTGTGAGGGATCCCCTTCTTCTCCCTCCACATCCACGCTCGCTTCGCGGCTGGCGGGAGGCACGCCACTCTCTTCTTCTTCTTCTCCTCCTCTCCCATCTCCTTCTTCTTCTTCGCCTTTTCGGCGGCGCGGGCCGGGATCTCTTTCTCGTCGTCTGCGTCGTAGACAGACGAGCCTGTACGAGAGGAGGGGCGAGAGGAGGAGTCGGTGGTGGTAGCGGCAGCAGCGGCGGCGGTGATGGAGGTGTTGGCAACGGCGGAGGAGGCGGCGCGCTGGTCGAGGGTGCTCTACATATTGTGTTAGCTCTTGAATATATGTCACTCGCTGTTCATCGAAGCAAAAGGTGGACTGTTCAAAGCTACTGCAAGCAGAGTTTTGTAGTAGTGATTCGATGGCACTACAAAGCAACACGCAGATACCCCAAGCGACGAGCGCACCGAAGCTGAGTGTCAGAATCATCAAAGGGGGGCTAATACATGCCGTCTGCTGAGCCTGAGCCAGGTGGCCATAGGCCTGGTCGTACGCTGGTCCGTAGCGACTGATGGTGGTGAAGGTTTGCGCTGGGCCGGACATGATGGCGATGGCTGTCTTTACCTAAGTGTGTGTCAGGACTCTACCCAGAAGTGGTGGAACGAAATGAACCTGCGAGATTGAGATGGTTGGCGAGGATTGCTAAAGCTTGACGATGATTGATAGCAATTGGCGAGGTAGTGTTGTGTTCGCGTACTGGTCAAAATCTGCGGCCGAAGTTCTGGATACCTGAACGCAAGCTGTGTAGCAAGTGACCAAAACACTGCCGGAATTCTCTGAGCGCACCCAAATATGAAGTCCAGCCATACATCAATGACCACAGACAATGTCTTTACGCTGGAGAATATCTCTAGCATGAATCGAAAGGAGTTAGCCCCAAGTAGCTTACTATACCGCGAGTTGCCAATTAAGGGGCACCAAAAACTACTAGGTAGCTGGTAACAGCGCCGATACAAGCAACTCAGCTTGATCAGGTATAGACTGAGCAAGTAAGTCAACACAATATCATCGAAACTGGGGCTAGCTCGATGTAAAGCTTCTGCTAGCAAAAAGCAAATGGCAGATACAATTCTGTCTCTGCTTTCTGCAATGACCAGTAACACAAGTACTGAGAGCAAAAATCAGAAGAACCTTGATCCGCAGGAAAGTATCCCAGGACGAGAGACATCGATCTACATCATATTGATGACGATGAGAGTAACACGAAATAATGGCTGCCCTCGGGACTGAACCAGCGACCTGGGCAAGTTGACAAAAAGGGAGGGGTCTCACCAACGAGACGGCCGGGAAGCCAAACCACCAAGCCAAAATCATAAGATCTATCAGCTACCTCCCTTAAAGGAAAATCTGAAAACCTTTACTTAAAAGCCTGACTTGTATGTTGTCCACATTCCACTTGATACAGACGACATATTTCCCGAACGATCACACAAGCCCTCAAATCTTGTCATCTTAGTCGTGAGCTATCAGGACGTTGATCTGGTTGATGATGCGCTCGACTGGTGCAAAAATCTGGACTGTGCATGCAGCCGAATGAGCAGTTTCGAAGTTGAACCACACCGACAATAGAAGAGGGTACCGTGAGAAAGAATCTGTACTTCTCAGTACGCTCCAGTGAACGAAACAAATAAAAAGGAATTGGCCGAGCTAGGATTTGAACCTAGGCTTTCAGCTTGGGGTTCCCGCATTCTCACGTTGCCAGCGTGCAGTCCATCTTGCCAAGTATGGACCGGGGTGAGACCCGCTGATGTGCTAACCACTGCACTACTCAACCATTTCGATGGAAAACTACCGTACCTGAGCCAATCATAGGTCAGGTAGAGGAGAGACGTGGAGACTTGAAGGTGAAGCGAGGAGAAGTAGAGCAAACGTTCGCAGACCCATAACCAGAGAACTCTTGTTCAAGGGTCGTTCGCAGGTTCCATAGGTTGTCAGTCCGGTTACCAATGGCTGTCTGTACATGACCGAGGTCGAGCAAATCGGAAAAGAGACGACCAGAAAAAATTGTCGAGCTTGTTTGGTCGAGGATATTATGGTCCTTGAGCATGTCGATCAGTCTGTTCATATCGAGTATGATTATGAGCCCGCTAAGCATCGTATTTCAAGCAAGAATTAGTCGATTTGCAGTCCATCTCTTTCTGTGTTTGAAGCTTGAAGCCCAAAACGAAAGGAATGGAGAAAAATGAAATCGAAGCTATGAGAATGTCGAGTGAATATGATACAGCGGAAAATAGGCATGTTGACGTGGGGTTGAATCTAGCGTCGAGACGAACAATCTTAGGGAAAAGGAAGCGGACATAAGGGCTATGCACGATTGTGGGAGCCAGTCAGCGAAGGTGTGGGAACCAGACTGTCAAATACTGGGGCTGGTCTTCAAGGCTCGAAGAACTCCGCCAAAGCAGTAGCTTTCATAGGAGGTCCTAGATCAATCAGCAACTCCAGTTTGTATGAAGTATGCGAGCTGTGGCAATGGTTCGCCTGCAGCCAGTCCAAAACAGGTAGCAGGAAATGGGCGGCATTTAATGACAATGGCATCCTGCGAAGCTGGATAGAATGCACGTAACTTTGATAATCGAAGAGCCGTGTGAGCTGGACGGTGAAGAGTAGCAGTCTTGAAGCGGTTGTTCGAGGGACGGTGGAGGGGCTGGACGCCGCCAAAGGGCCGAAGCAGTTTTGCGACCATCAAGTCAGCAATAGAAGAGACAAGCTGACAAGAAGATGGAGACGAAACGGTGGTAGATAAATGGAAGTTGTTGTAAGGTGAGGTGGTAGCTGGAGATGTGTGGTTGCAGGTTCCTTGCAGGTCTCCACACCTAAACTTTACTTCTGGTCTTACTCCCCTGTCGTGGCCCAATTCCACAACATCTTCGCGACAACGATCCCACAAAGCCCCCAACAAAAAGCTGTTACAGCCTATCAAGACCTCTCGATCTCATCTCCGGCCGATCATGGTAGTCCATGTCTTCCAGAATCGCCACTCGCAGGTCTCACCGCCAGGAATACCCGGATACGAGCAGTTACGATGACGGCCATGTACAATTATACATCCCCCTTCACTACCTGCCTCCTCGCGCCATATCTGAAGCCGTCGACGGATGGTATTACTGAAGGATCGGCTCATCAGAAGTAGTTTAGAGTACAGAAGAGTAGGAAACTTATACCCAGCTCCTTGCCTTGACTTGGACCGCCTCACCATCAAATGCCAGCCAGCCAGCACACACATAAGAGCAAAGAGGTGCATCAACGAGCTGAGGTATGCCTTGGAGCCAGCAACGATCGCTGAAGACCTGCTCCCAAGTCACTGCGAAAAGGGCAGCACTCTCAAACTTCCCCTCCAGATCTCGGAGCATCAAGAAGGACCCGGAAGTTTGAGTCAAGCTCCTACGACAAGCTCTGGCAAGGCTCTCACTGAGTCTACCAGAAACTTGAGACCGACGGCATTCAGCCACTGCAAGGAATCACGTACTATTGAGAATGTACGGTGATGCTTGGGACCTGGCACCCGATTCTTGGAGCTCTACAATTGGATCGACGACTTGGCAGGAATCGCAAACTTCAAACGGTCTTCAAAGCGCGCACTCACCATCATGATTGATGATGAGTGCGCACTTTCAAAGCTGCTGGTCGCTTGCTGTTCCTGCACTCGCCGGTCGGAAGAGTCGGGATTATCAGACGGGCAGGCCTTCTTGGACAAAGACATTGACCAGAGATCATCTTACAGCTTCATGCTCGAATTATGTCCGCCGTGCACTTGGGAACCGGCTGCAACAAGGGAGACCTCCGATGGTGCAATACGGCAACGACCGTGGAACAAAGTGCGATAGTAAGGCCGCCACCGCCAACTCTCACCTGCGACGATCGAATTTTTAGCCGAGACACAGGAATACCAGCACAGCGTGTCCACTTGCTTGCTAAACATGAAAGGCGTATCTCAGATCAGGCTTTATTAGAGATGAGACTAATATCGATAGACGGTGACATTGGTTGCCGCTGAGATGTTTGCCATCCGAATTGAGGGTCAGCCGTGTCACTATAAGGATGTCGTCAGCCCTTTGTTGCGACGACAGCATGACGCTTTCACGATCTCTCCATCTGGCCTTCGAGAACGTGTCCTTCCCTCTTACGCCTCCAAACTTGAGAGCCTACAGCCCAAGCTCGAAGTCGATAATCTTCGACTCATCGGCGTTTTGAATCTTGACTTGCCGATCTTCAAAGTTCGATGGTCGCATCTCCACAGGCTTGGCAGAACGGTCATTAATTTTGGGGGTTAAACGATGAACGCCCCTGTGAAAACATGCTTGACTTCGATGCTACAGTATTTGACTTAAAACAACTGTACGAAGCCTGAGAAGTGAAGGTAAGACAAATGAAAATATCCTGAAGCATAACGCGCACTGACGAACAAAGGCGGACGAAAAATGAAAGATGAGTACGAAGACTCAACACGAGAAGCATAGTAACAATGGTGAAAGAGAGATAAGGAAAGGGACTAATAAAAGTAAGCACTTGGACATTTCGGTCTACACACTGCTCTCTTGTCCATCGGACACATCTTCATCGGTTCCAGCCCCATGTCTAGCGCGTGAAGCCGCCTGCTTTATCTTTCCTTTCTCTCATTACGCCTCCGTTTTCCTGCTTTCTTTCTTTCTTGCATCTACCAAAGCATCACATGATTTCCATTTATTTACTATTCTTTCTCGCCTTCACGACAACCGCATGATAGTGACGAGCCGTCAATGCCATGCAGTGAACTTTGACTGAGCTCGACTGACGAAAGCATATTCATCGTAAAGGTAGAGTATCTGAGAAAGAGCTTGGATTGTTCTGTTACCTGTGAGAACTTCCGCGCGTATGAGCATTTTGATGCTGGTAGGTCCTGGCCGATTGCTGTGGGATTGCGACGAGTTTGATGCTGCCAGCTGTGTCGAGCACGTCCAGCAAATTGACCACGTACCATGTCTACCTGGTCGTTGAACTGCACCCGCGCATATCGAAGAAGGATCGGAAATCTCCTCTGACATGACTTTTCTTCTCCTCTGCACAGCTTGTTACTTCACGCCACGCCCACTTGGAGTAATTGGTGAGCAGCTTCAGCAATCGAGCCAGACTTTCAAGTCCTTCTACACTCAATTATTTTGGGTCTTGTGAATTCATCAGGATTGGTCGGAGTCTGCTCCACAGCAAGTCGCCTGCAGGTTCGGCTTGATTGGCGAGAGGACTTATGGCCTTGTCGGTGTCTTTGGCGAGCAAGCCATGCAAGAGTGTCGAGCGTAGCAGCGGAGAGTTCTCGCAGGTTCCATTGTTCGGTCCTCCCATGATCGTCGTCTGCTTCGACCTCACCATGACCCAAATTGTCATCCTCGAGACTCGATGCCCAAGGCTCTGCTGCGATTTCAAGTCTCGAGTCTGCTTTGATCCTCCTCTTTCGGTCAAGGTCCATTTCATCCCTGTCCAGCCACCATCGCTGGCCTGATAGCCAGAAAAGACGCTGGACGAAGAGCTGAAGGGAGCATGCTGTGGCGCCAGCATTTGCGTGGGTAAGCAAATGAATGAGTGGAATTGCAAGTTGTGCTTGATAGGGGCGGATGATTGGACTGGCTCAGCCGCCAGTATCTGAGTGAGTAAGTGAGTGAATGAGTGGAATGGCAAGTTGCGCTTGATAGGGGCGGATGATTGGACTGGCTCAACCTCGAGAGCTGCACTTGTGTTTGCCAATGCCGACGATCCGAAACGAAGCGACTTTGCGTGGTATGATTGCCATTGCTGGTATCCCGTACACAGCTGCTTCGTCTATGCTTGAGTCCTTGTGCATGCGCGCCCATTGCTGGTGTCTGTGGCTCGGTGCCTGTTGTTGGGTCTTTCTCTGATTCTGGCTAGGTATCTGTCCCTGGCTCGGTGTCTGTCTCCGTCTCGGCGTCTGTCTCTGGATCGGTGTCTGTCTCTGGCTCGGTGTCTGTCTCTGGCTCGTGTCTGTTGAGAGGCTTGGTTTGGGTGCCTTCCTTGGCTGCTGGAACACCAGACAGCTTGGATGGAGAGCTTTCGTGGGCTGCAGCAGGCTCTTTCTGCCTAGACTTCAGGTGCCCAAGATACAAGTCTAAGAGACGGGAGCCGAGTAGCTTTGAGCACCGTGAAGCAGTAGTGGACAGTCACGTGAGACATGGCCTGCTTGGTTCACCACTGCTGTAGCGAGTCTGCGACTCTGTGCTGTCATCTGAGTGAAGCCAAACAACTGGCGAGGTTTCAAACAGGAGCACAATGATGGCAGGCAGGGCAGTCGCTCTCACGATCGGGCTGGTGTCTCGTGTAACCCCAATTTTGGGGACACGAAGGCGAGCGGTCGCGGCTCGCTGGACTAGTAATCCAACGTAGCCGAGTGCGCTGCAAAGGCTGTGTGTATTCGCAGTCGGAGGAAAGACCGATCCGCGATTGTCATGAACGAGAGACTGGTGGTCGGCTTCCATGGTCTGCGAGTTGTCGGTCTCTGGAGGAGGCGCGAGGAGTCCTCCTTGCCTCCTTGTTCGCCCACAATGTATTGCTTGGTGGCCGCGAACAGCCGACAGCTTGATCAAGATGTGTTAGAGAGCTGTCTTCACCTTTTATGCGGAGATGAGTGTCACTTACATCTGAAGCGGCACAAAGCCGCAAGTCTGCGACGGGATTCGTTGAGACCCAAGGTCTCACCCGCGAAAAGCCGACAGCTTGATCAAGATGTGTTAGAGAGCTGTCTTCACCTTTTATGCGGAGATGAGTGTCACTTACATCTGAAGCGGCACA